CCTTATACCACTGCACTATAGCTAATATTATCTTGATTTTACTGAGGAGGAAAGTGAATCTCAAAGCAGTGAAACAGCAAAGCTATGTATCAACTGTGCCATTACTCCATGATATGTCTAGAAACAGTCTCTCTTCCACCATCTAACTGGTGGTGTGTGCCAGTTACTTAAAATTCCTTAAGTCATATTAATTGAAGTTTCGGAGATTTAATTTTGCTTATCTGCAAAGATGGAGAAGACTGAAATTGGCTTTATTCCATTCTGGTTAATTCAGTCTTATTAAAGGAAGAATATTCAGTCATTTAGAGTATAGTATTTACTCTGAATCATAGACAATTTCCATAGAAACTTTACAAGCTAAATAGTCTTGGATTATATGTATTAAACATATATACTTAGCTGGAAATGAAACTCTAGGGATGAACAGTTAGATAATTTATGGGTGTGTTTGAAAGGAGTTCTTCGCTCATCATTAAGAGTCATTTATGTCTATCAATAAATGATAGGATCAGATTTTCACAAATGTGTTTGAAATTTCTTTCACTTATGAAGTAACTAGGCTCAAATAATGTTTTCACATACTAATTAACTACAATCAGGACAAGGGATTTTAACTGGATCTGAAAGGATTATCTTTTAAGGAACTCTTATCATACATTTTATTTTCCTTCCGTAGGTCCTCTTTGATATTGAACCACAGTGATGTATTATGACCAGAGACTCATACTTATGCCCTCAAAAGCAATATGTTAATTCTTATTTTGTACCTCCAATATTTCAAGAAGTATAGAATTAAAAGGAAAAACAAGTGTGTGTGTGTGTGTGTGTGTGTGTGTGTGTGTGTGTGTGTGTGTGTGTCTTAGGATATTTTGGTAGATTTCAGACAATATAAACTTTATTTAAAAGCATCAATTTTTATACTTTTTCTAAAAGACTGTTTTTCTGGGAATAAACTTTATTAATTTAGATTATATATTGAATTACATTTAAGGTATTCAGTAATAAGTTCCTTTTTTGTTCTTTTGAACAGAAATAAGTTCTTTTGAATTTTTTTGTTAAATGTATTGGCTTCTTTGTAATGAATTTTGAGGATTAAACTAGTAAATTTATATTATGGTTTCTGATTAGCAAAGATAAAGATGACCCATTCAAAGTTAATTTCAGTATTTCATGTGTTCTCATGTGACATGTATCAACTTTTCTTTGTATCCTTAATGTAAGGAAGATCACTCCAAAGTTGATGATCACTTACATGAACAAATTTGTATATCACAGCATAATTCACAGTTGGAAAAGATTAATTTGTCCATTTTTGAGAGTCATAAAACAACTGTGCTAAGGATATTGTATTTGCCAACATATTTTGTCCAGGACTTTGTTCTTACTTTTTAAAATTCTTCATATTTCAAACAATTTAAAAAAATAAAAAGAAAAATTGTATCTTTAGCTAAATGAAATTTGCTCTTTACAAACAGTAAAGAGTCATGAAAGATAACTCTGTATGTTTCTTGCTATTATACTCAGTCAGAAAATTAAGATAGCATAGGAGTCCAGGAGTGCAAGGTCCTTGTGTAATATCTGTTAGAAAAATGTCCTTCACAGAATGTTCAGAGCTGCATGGAGCTCTCCTGACTTTATTTTTCTCCAGTTCAACTTGGTCCTAAATCAACTCAACCCTGCATTTTTTTGAAAAGTTTGCCTTCGAAAAGGATTTGAGTTTAGTATTCATTCCTTCCTAATTCCACAGAAAGGGTCTCTATTTTTCATACTCCCTCATATTGCTACTACCATCTGTTTAAATAAGCACCCAAGAATCTCTCTAATTGCTAGATGTTTAAGTAACATAGTTTTGGCGTTAGGGATACTGTTTTTTTTTTAGGGTACCTAATATTTCTTAATATCAATTCTTTCAGTGAGCAGCTTAGGAATAGAAGGAAATTCTGGCAAGTCCATATTAGCTTCAGTTTTATTTTCAGGTAAACAACTTGCAAAGCATCCCTAGTGGAAGCAGACTATCGCAGTAATAGATCTGTCTCTCAGCTGATTGGTTGGCATAGAGGAGTTAGCAATCTGTGGAATGGTTCTTCAGAAGTAATTTTTCTCTAAGAGTCCAGGAACTTGTTGTCACCATTTTTCTGACATGATTTGCAGCTACTCGCTATAGTCTTATCACCACTGTCAAGTACAACAACTGAAAATGGAGGATGGTTTCCTTGCTCATTTTTCATCCTTTCTCCCTGACTAAATTTCTTGAACATCATTTCAGTATTGTCTCCTTTTGTTTTGCCATCTAACTTAGCGAAACTTTAAATTCGTGAGTTATGTTTTTTGTTTATAAATTAGAATGTTGCTGAGATATTTCTCTTTTAAATCGATTATAATATTACATATAAAGATTTTTTGATCTCAGAAACATTTGTATAGAATATTATGTATTATAGAAGACTCTGTATGTAAGGCTTTCGAGTAAGCCATAAATAGTGAATGGGGATTGTATATATGGAATTAGCTCAAGATACATTATGTGCTATATGATGTAAGGTTGAAACAAATTATCTACTTCCATTTCCCCCCAATTCCTCTTTAAACTCTATGTGGCTACTAGAATTATTATTATTACTGTTCTTAATTTTAAATATGGCTTGAATTTTATCATACTCTTGATGAAATCCTTTAATGGCTACAACTGTAGAATAAAATTTAAACATTTTATGTCTAAAATCTTTCGTTTAGTTTTGTTTTTGCCTTGTTGCCAATGTACTTTTCATGCCCATATTACAGAAGTTTTGAGAATATTTGAGTTTCCCCAACATATAATGTCTTTAAACTTCTATGCCTTTGCTCTTGTTTTTTCTCTAATTTCAGTTTTTTTTCCTTCTGTCCTTACTCATCTTTATAGACCCAACTCCATGAAGCCTTCCCTAACCATCCTGGGTATGTGTAGCCAATTCATTTGTCATTTGTGTTCTTCGTGACTTTGGTCACACTGTTATTATTCCTTGTAACACACTGTAATTAATGTGAATATGTATGCATATATATACATATACGTATACACACATTTATCTCTCCCATATTTGTCTATGACATTAGGACAGGAACAGTACTTTTTGTTTGTTTGTTTCCTGTCATCTAGTTCAGTATACTGTTTAAGTCTTTAACCTTGAAATACAAAATATTTTACAAAATGATTTAAAAAAATCTTTACTAAAGTTTATTGCTATTCTCTATCTGTAGTAAATAGATATATAGTATCTCTCAGATTAGAACTTATTTTAAACCGTAAAATTTAATATTTTTTGAAAATATTTTTAACATTCAAGTCAAATGGACCAGGAACTATTTCCAAGACTCTTGACTGATATGGTTGCAATGAGCAACAAATAGTAGGGGTTGACCCACTTATTTTGTAGACTACTACAGTTGTTATTGCTAATCAGAATCCTGGAATCTAAAATTAACAGTGGCTATGAAGGATAGCAATTAAAGCCATTTGTCTTCCAAATGAGCTACTGTAGGTTCCACAGTTTAAATAGGGCACTCACCTTATTATAAAGGGCAATGGGGGCCCTGAAGGCATGTGTTGCAAAGCAATACGTTATTTTAGGGTTGATAGGAAATTATATTTTGAGGAAAACTTTCCTAGGAAACTCTTTTCATTGATTAATTTTAAATGAAAAATGCATCTTTTTTTTTTTTAATGAGAGCATTTATAGAAAGGCTATTTTAAGCCTATTTAAAGGAGGGTATTAAGCTTTAAACTGCCGAAGTTTGATTATTTTAAAGAATTCTTGTAGTCATATGAGTAAATCAAGGATACCCTCATACATCGTCCATTTTTGACTAAAAAGATCCTTTAGGACTATCATGTCATCTGGACATCTCTGATCTTTTGTTTTTGGCCTCTGATGCTAGTTTGTTTCTGTCATTAGTGAGGAATATAACTTTTATTCATATTCAAATTGACAATCTGTGGGTGAAGAAAGTGATTTCCTTGTTTACAGAGAAGAATTTATATGACTGAAGTTTACCACCCCATCACCTGCTGTTTGGTCACAGAATTCACTGAGTTTCTTCACAAAGATTCCCCATGAAAACTAAACAAATAAGAAGACTGGGTATTGGTTTTTCTCATTAATCCCACTGCTGGATTGTCATTAGTTCTAATCCATTTTCTTTCAAGATTAGACATATAGTTCTTATTTTAATGATTTGAATAAACTAAAATATGTTGAGTTGTGTGTGCCAGTATATATGTAGGCTGAGAAGAAAAAGTAATTATTCTACCTCTGCCATAAAATTTCTTCTGAAAATAAAGTCAGAAAAAAATGACTGATGTAAAAGGGAAAGGCTAACTCCATTTTTATAAAAAAGAGGTTCTTAAATAAAGTGGAAGTGGTTAGCATGATTATAGGCTTATCTGATCGGTTTTATGCTTCAGTTTTCCCCCTCCTATTAAGTTATAATTGTGTATGAAAGTAATCTAAATAAAGCGTTGAAGAGTATATCACTGACCTCAAACACGTTAGACCCCATAAAGCTTTATTTCTTTCATTTGCTGTGAGAAGTATATTTCAAAGTGTTCTTTTAAATCAAGGGATTTGATGAGACTTAAGTACTAACTTCACCTTTTGAACTTGCGTTATGGGGAGTGACCGTTTTCATTCTTTTCCTTCCTCTCGTTAGCTCCACTAAGCTGTTCAAAACCATTTAGATTCTGTGTGG